ACCTACTGTCAGCCAACTAGCTCAGGTCTCCGCCGCGTCTATCCTGTTTCTATCACTAATACCAAGTCTATGGCTTCCTATGTCTTAGTCTCTTGTGTGCCAACCCAAAAATGTTGTGGTACTGCTTGCTTTGATTAGGTTCAATGTTAAACCTTTTTTTATTTTACTGTGCTTAGTACACCATCAATAGTTGTAATACTATGCGACAAATTGTATATCTTTTTCGGTAGTTTGAGTCATGGTTGTCATGATTAACTAAATGCCAAAATTTGTACAGGGATGATTTTTTACTCTCGATATTTATCAACTCTCTTACAAGTCAACCAAATGCATTTATTCTGCACATCCCATAGCTCCATACCCTTTTGACTCTTTCTCTTCCCCCTCAATAATATTATAATGCGAATCCTTGTTTCTATTTCCTTCTTATTTTCTAAAGGTTAAATGAAGTGACAACGTTAACATATCTTTCTCAGCTTGGCTACCGGCAAGTTAAGCCACCCAGTTTGAATCTGATTGAAAGTGAGGTCCATTTAACTACAACGAATCGAACTGGCGACGAAGCCCTAATGACTCCTGTATCTAACGTGGACTGCGTTCACATGGCTACTGGCGGATCAAAAATGGAGCTTGGATATCTCGAAATGACTCTCAAACAACTGTCCGGACCTCCAGAGGAAGTTTATCGACGGATATTGGATCGACAGACCAAACTGGAAGAGCAATATGAGGTTTGTGCATACGTAACTAAACAAATTTATTTAATTTTTGCGATGTTGTACACATCTGAGTATAAGTTGTTAATTATTCGCAAAACTGACTTGTTACATCAAATTATTGTTGAATTATTACAATTATTAATTTTAGAGTTTATAAATGCAGAGTGAACTAAAAGACCTAGTTATTAATTCATATTTAATTTCTTTAAAAAAAATTTGATTGTTCTTACCACCGGTTTTAACAAACACATGCTGAAGTAGTATCTTACTGTAAAGAGTATACAGATTCTTATATTTGATATGATACACCCTATTTCGTTAAGGTGATGAAGGACTGGTAATTAAATTTTCCTACAATGATATGATTGAGGCTTACGCTTCCATTGAATTTTACATAGCCCTGCTTCCCAAAATTTATTCTCTTCCAGGGTGAAATGCAGTTTCGACCTCACCTAAGTCTCATCAAGACCCCCAATGGGGCTCGAAACGTGATAGTGTAGCATACAATCTCTACACGTTGGCCACTACGTTTCATTGCCACAT